GCACAGACCTTCCGGTGGGTAGAGTGGACAGACATCCAGTGGAGGAAACTATACGTGTGCAAGAGGTTGCTCCAGGGGCTGGGGAGGGAGTGCTTTCAGGGAGGGAGGTTAGGGTGGGCCTCAGAGAGAGGACCAGGCTGGGTTGGGTGCTGCATGGTAGCACCCCATGCCATCTGAGAGCAGAGAGGGGCCAGGGGCCAGCAGATGAGGCCAGGGAAGTTGCAGCGAGTTGTGCAAGCTGTTGTGAGGGCTTATTGTTCTCCTGTCCAAGGTGGGCAGGTTTGGGCTGGAAAGACCAGCAGTTATGTTGTGATGAAGTTAAGGATGAGAGGCCAGTGGCAGCTGGATAGGTACCTGCCCCCGAGAGCAATGGGGCAGGAGTCTCCCCAGGAGGTTCTCGTTATAGCCCCTCCTGCACAAGAAAAGGATCGGTTTTGTTATGACAGCCACTGGTGTTTTGATATTTAGCTGTGTTAATTACCTTTGTGTTATACACATGCATATACACAGCCTTTAGAAAACAGACTGTGTATGTGTTTGTCCCTCACAGAGAGAGTCTCTGTATGTTTTGCCCAGTTTCTCCCAGTGGTCACATTTTGCCCAACTGGAGTGTAATGTCACATGAACACTGGCAGACTCCAGAATCTTACGCTGATTTTCCCACATTTATTTGTGGCGCTTGTCTGTGTGGACATGGCCGATAAGCAAGTCCTGCGCTCATTTTCACTGTGTGTAGGTTCGTGGATGCGCCACAGTCAAGACCGATTAGTTCCACATTTTTTACAGCCACACCCACCTCCCTCCCAGGCCCCTCCAGCTTATATACATATTGGTTTGGTTTGGTTTGATTTTGGTTAGCATTTTTTTAAGTAGTCACAAAATAAACATAAAATTTACCATCTTAACCATCTTTTAACCTGTAATTCAGTAGTGTTCCATACATTCATGTTGCACAATGGGTCCTCAGAACCTTTCATCTCACTAAACTGAAACTCCGTGCCCTTGAAGCAGCAACTCCCCACCCCGCCCCCAGCCCCTGGCAAACCCCCTTCTACTTTCTGTCTCTGTGAACTTGAAACTGTAGGAACTTCATGTAAGTGGAATCATGCAGTATCTGTGCTTGTGAGTGGCTTATGTTAACTAACATGTCTTCAAGGTTCATGCATATTGTATCTTGTGTCAGAATTTCCTTTTCATTGCTGAGTAATATTCCATCATGTGGTTGGACCCCCATTTTACTTACCCATTCATCCATCAATAGACAACTTGGGTTGCTTCCACCTCTTAGCTACTGTGACTAATACTGCTATGAAGGTAGATGTACAAATATTCTTTGAGACTCTAATTTCAGTTCTTCTGTGTATAAATCCAAAAGTGGAACTGCTGGGTCATAGGTGATTCTCTTTTTTGTCAGAGTGGGTGTGGTGGGAAGGATCCGGGCAGCGGAGCCCCCGTCAGCCTCCCAGGCTCTGTGTACTCTCGAGGAGTCGGGCTGACTGGTGGGTAAGTTCTCCTCGAGGAAACACCCTGCAGCTCACAGACTTCAGGAGCTGAAAGGCGCTCCGAGGGCCCGGGTGGTCCTTGCTGATGCCTTACAAAGACCAATGCTGGCTCAGCTGAACTTTTTTGGTTAAAATGAGAAATCCCCAGCGCAGTTTGGCTTAAGCAGAAAAGTGACTGAATTGGCATCTTGGGTTATCTCCTGTATAACAGACCTGCCAGCTTAAAGCCCCGGTTTCATTGCTTGTGATTCTGCACATAGGCAAGGCTCCTCATGGAACCTGTGGGGGTCAGGCAGCCTGGGGCTAGAAGCCTGGGGTCCTGTGTCCCAGGCCTTAGTTCTCACGGGGGACTGGGTTCTTCGGTCCTCTCGGTGTGGACAGCTAGGACCTCCCTCAGCACAGTGGTCTCAGGGTGTCCGGACTCCCTGCATAGCAGCTGGCTCTCTCCAGAGCGCAGGTGCTGGGCTGCTGGGCCTCCCTTAAGGCCACAAGTGCCACCACACTGCTTCTGTTGCTTCTATTAGCTAAAACCTCCAGGCTCCCCCACCGCCCTCCTCACCACCCTTGAGATATCTGCTCTTCTGCCTTTCCTAAGGGGGTGCCAGCTGGTCGTTCTGGTGTCCGGCAGGATCCTGGTTGGGTCTTGGCACTGTGGTCTTGCAGTCCCACAGCCCCAACCCTCCTGTCTCTCTAGCCCTTCCTGAGGTGCACTCCTCATGGCCCAGAGAGGCAGCCACCTCCTTCTCACAACTGCTTCCTCCAGCCGTCAGCCTGTGGGGAGGGTGGCACGTTCTCAGTGGCAGCTGGCAGACCCTGGCCCAGGAGGGTGTGGCCCTGCCAGCCTGAGTGATGACGCCTCCAGTCCCTTCCCCGTGCTCTCTGCACGGCCCTCCTGTAGCCAACGGACAGGCCCTTCTCCTGAAGGTTAAGGTGGGACTACTGGGGTCTGCACCGTCTGGCAGGCGGGCTCTCCTTGGGCCTTTGACCGCTTTCTGCTGCTGGTGCAGGTGCAAGTGCAGGCTGTGTCAGGCCCGTCTCGTGAGCCCTTAGAACCAGTGCCCAGGGCAGCCGGGCTGTATTTCCCAGCATGGAACCACTTTGAGCACACCACATGTGCCCCAGGTCCGGTCAGCTGCCACCTGGCCGAATGTGAGCTATCGCTCTGGAGCTCTGGCTCAGGGACCAAGCCAGAGCCGCCAGCGTGACCAGGGCCTATTGCGTAGCTGTGTTGTTGGAACTCAGTAAGTTCTGGAGCAAAACAATGCGGGGTGTGATTCCCAGCCTTGCCTTGCACTGCTCCTTGCTCCCCAAGACAGGAAGGCCTTCACACTTGGTGCGCCTGTTCTCTGGTGGCCGTGCATAGCTGCTTCCCCTGCGACCTCGTGATGACCAACATGGGCAAGAATGCACGTCCCCTGGTCCTGACATTCATGCCAGCCCTTACTGCAGGGTTACATCAAGAAGGCCGGCTCTCCGTGGACTTTGCCACCACGCAGATGCTCGGGAGGGCTCCAGGGAGCTGGAGCGTGGTGAGGGAAGTGGGCCTTGCTTTGCCGCCACTGGTCCTGCCCAGCTGCCAGAGGGCCAGGTGGGAAAGCTGGGGCAGGTTCCCTGTGTCTGGGCTGCCGGCCAAGTGCAGACCTATGGGAGGGAAGATGGCACCACTGTGTAAGCCACACAGTTGTGTGGCTGTTGGCACGAAGAGCTCGTGGCCTTTATAAGTGTGCGCCCCGGGAGGGGCGGGGTCTTGTCCCAGGGGTCTGTCTCTGAGTGCCTGGGTCTGCAGGCTCGGTCATTCCAGTGATTGATGCTTTGTCCCACTTTCTGACTTGCAGCTATTTGAAGTCGCTTGGAGAGTCTTAGCAGATTATACTTTAACTGAAAGTTAAATCACTCCCTTTACTCACAGGTCATTTACCAGTGGCCTATTTTTCTTCCTAGGAGCAGTGGTTCAAGATATTGTTTGAATGACCAGTATTTTAAATGGCTGAGTCTGTGTCTATTCTCCAGTGAATAAAAGCAAGGTAGATGTTATATTTCTTTTTTCTTTCTTCCAGGCAAGCCAATTTTTTCAGTTGATATTCACCCTGACGGAACCAAGTTCGCAACTGGAGGACAAGGTATGTTGACAGAGCACTAGAGGGGCTCCTGCCCGCTGCCATGCCCTACTGCCCCCGGTGGCCCACGAGCTGGAGAGAGGATGTGCTGATCTTCAGAACGGATGTGACAGTTTACATCTGAACAGGCCACCTCAAAACCTGTTTTTGGCCCCAGTGTGCTCTGTAAATATTTTGGTGGCAGGTTTATCTTCATGACTCCTATTGATTGGGTTAATACTGAAATCAGTCTACATCCCGGGCCCAACCTGATTGAGCATGGAGAGTGGCCCGGCCCCGGAGGCAAGGGCTCTGGGTCCCTTGTCAGAGCTCCGGCAGCATTTTCTCACCCCAGGAGGGAGGAGGTGGTTGAATAATGAAGTCAGTTATGTAGTTATTAGGCCCATTTTCTGGGCTCAGAGAAGCTCGACTGGAGTTCCACTGCATCACCCAGGAGCTCTGGGCCTGGCTGGGGGGGCCGGGGTTTTCTCCTTGTCTGCCAGAGGAGCTGCACCTCCCACCTACTCGGTGTAGGAAGGCCCAGGAGAGCCGCCCAGAAAGTGTGCTGAGCGGGCCAGGTAGCAACTTCAGGTGTGCTTAATGGAAATTTTGACGCATCCATTTCCAGGCATTTTCAGGTCCTGCCATTGATGACACAAAGTTAGGTGAGGGCTGCCCTTTTGTCAGTTGTCAGTAACGGAAGTCAGAAAGAGAAGCCATTATGGAAAGGCAAAGCAGAGTGTACATCACCTTATGACCCCAGGAACCCTGAATGCCCTCTTAGTTGACGTCCCATCTATAGGTGACTGCAAGGGGCCGATGAGGTCATGATCTGTCCCCTCTCTTGTGTGAGGGCCCATTTCAGACTTGGTTCTCAAAGCATCCGGGCAGCTGTGGGAGCAGCAGCTGGGCTGCCCGAGCGCAGAGCGGGGGGCACTCCGGGACGTCGGCTTTTCCAGCCTCTTTGCATTACAGATGAGGGTCTGTGTCCTGGGTGGGGGTGAGGACCTTCATGGGGCCCCTGGTGGATCCGTGCTAGAGGCCAGACTGGAGTTGAGTCCAGGGTTGTTCCTTTAGAGTCAGGCTGTCCTCAGCCTCCTCCCGAGTCTGCCATTTCTGATCCCTGGCCCGCATTTCCCCTTACTTGTGCCTGTGATGTCCGTGAGCAATTCTGGTTCCTCTGATCTGGTTACCCCTGACTTGGGACAGCTGAGTGAAGACAGTCACAGGCTCCTGCTGGCACTCCTTACACATTGGGTTGTTTCTGCTCCTCCGTTCCAGGACAGGATTCTGGGAAGGTTGTGATCTGGAATATGTCTCCAGTCCTCCAGGAGGATGACGAGAAGGATGAAAATGTCCCCAAGATGCTTTGCCAGATGGACAATCACTTAGGTATTACAGGGTGGCCCTTTGCAGGCTTTGCGTGTCGGCACAGTGCCCAAGGTTAGCACGCGTGTCTGTGACTAGTGCGGCGGTAGCCCCCTCGGCCTGCCGTCTGAAGGCACAGATGCTGCTGCACGCCTGGGTGAGTTATTCTGCAGAAGACTCGGCCCGCCCACAGAACCACCTTTGGACAGTCTGCAGGTACCTCTGGTGATTTCCTGCTCATGAGTCGTTACTGCCTGATTCCATGGGGCTTTGGGGCCAGCAGCCTGGAAGCAGTAGGGATCTGGGGAAGGGTGCCCAAGAGACAGCTCACCACAGTTTCAGAAGGCCACCATGTGGCTCCCGGGCCCCTGCTGGCACCTGTGGCCTTTGGACAGTGTTGTGGTTTCCTGTCCTGTGTTCATGCCTGGGTCTCCAGCCCCTGCACCTCAGGGTAGCTGTACCTGGCTCTGGTCCCCACCTCACCGCCTCCCTGAGATGCTCCCTAGCCATTGTGTCCCCTTCCTTTGCACTGCACCCTCCTGCTCTCCCGGCCTCGGTGTCCTCTGGCCGGAGCACAAGTCACTCACAGGCCACGTGTGGACCACACATTGTAACATCCCTCCTGTCACGGGGCTTCCCAAGGCCCTGAACCACCAGGACCAGAGAGGTTCTGCTGCTCTCAGTTTATAAGTGCAGGACCAGTCTACCTGCAGTGCTGACAAGTTTGGGAGATCTGGATTTAAAAGAGCTGATAGGTGGCTTGGAGTCAGAGTTTTATGCTCTACCAAGCCACTCCCCTGAAAGTTCTGGAAAAGGCACCTAGACCTTTTTAGCAAATGCCCTCATTGCAAGAATTCTCTCTACTTGGAAAGATCTACTGTCATCATTAGGCTGCCCTTTTGAAATGATGAGATTTAGTTATTTATCAGTTTCCCTGGAAATGAGCCTCCCTCTGCTGACTGATCCAGCGCCGCCACTTCTCAGATAACATAGCTTCCCCTCCAGACCTTGCTCTGGCTCATTCTTGCAGCATGAGTAGGTCAGTGCTTGAACGGGGTGGTTCTTTGGGGGCCCTCACACCACAGGTGCCTGGAGGAGATGAGGCGGGTTAGGTTTTGTGAACCCTCTGCATCTTGCCAAATGGCACAGAGCAGACGGGCATGACTACTGGATTTTCATCACCTATTTTTTTTTTTCTTCCCAGCATGTGTGAACTGTGTGCGGTGGTCAAACAGTGGGATGTATTTAGCTTCTGGGGGAGATGACAAACTGATTATGGTGTGGAAGCGGGCTACGTAAGCATCATTTTCCTTTCTTCTTGTATTACTTTTAGAAGCTTCTTTGCTGGTCTCCATCACAGCACTTTCCTCCTACCGGCACCAGTCCCCAGGGCTCAACTGGGGCCTGAGCAGGAAGGCAGGTGCCCCCAGCTGCCTGGGGACCTGCTCAGTGCCCCTTTTGGGGCTGCAGGGCTTCTGCTTGAAAGGGAGGATTAATCCCTACCGGGGCTGACGTCGGTGGCTCCCTTGTTCTGTCCTTCAGATGAAGCCCCCAACACAGATGGTGAAGTCAGGGTGCTCTGACGGAATCCTGGGCAGGAGTGTGGGCCACCCTTGTGGCTGTTCCCCTTTATCTGGCAGCCTCTCCTGGGGTCCTGGGGAGCCCGTGCTGTCCCTAAAAACCCCTGTTCTGCACCCATGATGCACTCACACCTCCTGGAGACTGTCCTGTGAACCTAGGCCGAGTCCCTCAGGCTGGGTCCTGGGACACCGGGGCCACCAGACTGGGGACCAGACCCTCCCCTCCTGCTCAGCTGGAGTGGCCTCTGGCCATGGCTTGGAAAGGAAAGACTGTCTCCTTCGGCCCAGCCAGCTGCTCCTGTGAGCTCTTCCCTAGGGCTCAGGAGGACTTACAGGAGTGAAGAGGCTCATTGATGCCACACCTGCAGGACCCAGGACTGCTTGTGGGGCAGAAGCCACGCCCCTGGCTGAGCACTTCTGTGCCTCAGCTCTGATGACAGAGGTGTTCAAGTCATTACAGGAGGGCTGGAAAGTTGCTCCTGAAGCTGTTGCTTAGCCAACATGAACAGCACATTTGGTACACAATTCGGAAATCTGAACAAATGTTAAAGAAAAGCACCACAATCCCACCACCTAAGAAAAGCCACGGTTAATATGTTGGAATTTTTCCTGTGTGTCCTTCTGGTCCACCTTCCATGCGAGGATGGTGTGTGTGGTCTCCTGTTCTCCACGATGGCCTGCAGGCTGCTGCTGTCACTAGTTATACCCTAGGGCGGGTCCTGCGTGGCAGCTATGCGATGTTCCCCCTGGGCACAGACCCTCCCTTGCCTAGTCAGCCCTGTTCTCCAGCGGGGCACCCCGCAATCACGGTCTGTCTGTCTGCTGTGTGGTGCCGGGGTTCTGGGGCGCCCTCCTGACCCCCCTTTCATGCAGGTACATCGGGCCCAGCACCGTGCTCGGCTCCAGCGGCGAGCTGGCCAACGTGGAGCAGTGGCGATGTGTGTCCATCCTGCGGAGCCACTCAGGGGGTGAGTGGGCGGTCCAGGGGTGGGCGGCCCCAGGACTGCCTGGGTCCTGAGAACAGCCCTGAGCTTGGGCCACCCTCCCCATCACCGTCGGTCAGACCTTGCCATCCCTCGAAGTCCGTGTAGTCACCGTCCCCACTCCTGCCTTCATGGGGTGTATGTTTGTATCTTTAATGTAGAACTCCCCACGTTCCGCTGTTTATCCTGATGAACTGAGTCACTACCTCCATCAGTGGATCACTCAGTCCGTAAGCGCACTTTATTTATTCCACAGAAACCCGCACACTGGGGCCACCAGAAGGCTTTTTACCTGACTTTGCATGTGTATGCAGAGTGTTTGAAGTAGATTTGGTGTGGAAGGAGACGGTTGTTCAGACGGGACTGAAGCTGATAGCGCTCAGTTAGATGCCAGGGCTGCCTCAGAGAGCCCACGGTCCAGCCAGGAGTGGCCAGAAGGGTTTGCCAGGCAGGGCAGCAGAGGCCAGAGAGGCTTGGTGTCAGAGCAGGTTGGCGGCATCAGCACTGCTGGGTCTTGCCATGTGACGTGCAAGACAGCGAACATGGGGCCAGGGTGGGGAAGGCTTGAGCTGCTGGTTCACGAGGGTGTTCTTCATCTGGGAAGAGGCAGGAGGTGGAAGCGGGGCATCTGCTGGCAGTGCAGCAGGGTAAGCAGTTTCAGTGGTTTGGACGAAAGCTGCAAGGGCCCAAGCCGGGCCTTTGACAGCTGGGGCGGGAGACTGGGGCTTCGTAGGGCAGAGCAGGTGCCACCCTGCAGAGCTGGTGGTACAGACATGTGGCTTACCCTTACCTGCCCACAGGGCTCATAGTGGGGTCCTAGATGAGCCTCCCTGGAGTGCGGACAAGGGTCTGTGAGGTCATCCAAGCGTAGGGCGGGGCTCCCATGAGGATGCTCCTAGGGCCTCTCACCTGAGACCCTGGCTGAGCCATGACCTCGAACCTCTCCTGAGCTACCCCCCGGGCTCCTCTCCCAGGCGGCGGGGCTGCCCACCTTCAGCAGGTACCTGCCACTCCTTTGCATGGTCCTGGTAGCAGGTGTGGGCAGAACCATTTAAGAAGGAAAAAAGAAAATCCGTGAAAAAGCAGAAATACATGAATAGAAAGCATTGGTCTTTGAAAGTTAAGTGTGAAAAACATATACTTCGCACATTTAATCGGGATAGGAGAAAAAAAACCATAGAAAAAATTAGAAATAAAAGATCTAAAAACATACTTAACCCACAGGGAAAAAAGACAACAAAGAGAGCACAATGTGATGTTTATAGTATTGGACTGAAAAACCAAACAAAATACTAAGAGGAATGGAGTTTTCTAAAAAACACTTGTTTTCAAAATGGATACAGTAGGGTTAGGAAAATCTGAACAAAGTAGAAACTATTGAAGAAGCTGGAAGTTACCTTCAGAAATGGCTCCTGATCCTGAGTTATTTGTCGATGTGTTGTTTCAAACAATTAAGAAAAACTGTCCTGGAACATAGAAATATTTGTTCTTCAAAGGAAGCTATTACCCTGCATTTCCAAAACCTAATAAACAATAATGAGACAAAAGCATAGACAAATATGAATAAAGCTAGAGAAATCACAAACAGAATACTTGTGAATTTAGGAGCATTTTAAAGCAGTCACTTATTTTGACTAAATGTGATTTACAATGGGAGAATTCTGTGTAACGTTCTCTTTTAACTGTCTTAGCACACCAGGAGGTTAAGTGAGAGATGCCAGAGTTATCCTGGGAGGTGTTCTGAAAGGAGTATTAGATCATTCAGCATCAATTCCCAATACAAATGCTTTTTAAAAATGGCTGTAGAAAGCTGGTTCCTTCACATCATAAGAGTCAGCCTGGGGCAGGTGTTACAGCTCATGGCCTGTTCCCACTGACACAGAGCAGAGCCAGGTGTGGGCGCTAGCACTCTGTGTATTACTCGGGAAGTTATGCAGTCCAGCTAAACAGAACCAGAAGAAGGAGACAGACTGCAGGATAACCCCACTGTGAGCTGGTGTGAGGATGGCGGCGTTGCACATCAGGGAAGCCCGAGGAGTGAAGCCCTTACAGCTTAGAAACCATCGAAAAACACTTCGGGCTCATAAAGATGAGTCATGGAACTGGCCTCATCTAAGGAGATTTTTAATTGTCTTTCACTAGTAACAGCCAGTTGGATGGAGTAGCTGATGATAAAAAGAGACCCCTCACACAGTAGGATCAAAAATCATAAATACTCAGGAATAATTTTCCCAAGAAATGTGTGAGAGGTCTGAGACTTAAGCCGCAAATCTTTTTTGAGAAATGAAATGACCACTTCATCAGTGGAAAGACTAAATATTTTTAAAATAAAGATGTTATTTTTTCCCAAAGTAATATTTATTATTCATTTAACAAATAATTATTGAGTGCCTGGTATATTCCAGGTGCTGTTCCACCCCCAGGGAGTTCACATTCTTGTGAGAGAGACAGTCAACAAGCCACGAAAGACCCTGGAAGATAAGTGCAGTTTTACTCAGATTCCAAGGAGGGTCTCACTGAGAAGGTGGCTTCCTAGGGGAGACCACACGAAGGTGAGGGGACACCTGTGTGGGCATCCAGAGAGCTTTCCAGGAGGAGGGAGCAACCAGGGTAACAGCCCTGGGGTGTACACACGTGCTTGGTGGGTTGAGGGACGACTCCGGACTGTGGCCTTAGCGGTGGAAGGGGTGTGGGTGCCGTCCTGCGAGGCGGGGTGTGGCCTCACGGAGGGGCTGCTGGGTGAGTGGGCCTAGTAGCTGGGCATTTGGGTATGTGGGCACTGAATCAGGGGAGAAGTGTGGGTGGGAGCAGAGGCCTAGGGTGGAGCCCGAGTCAGAAGAGAGCAAACTGCAGGTATTTGTTGCTTTGAGGCCAGGACTGAGCACTGGGCTTGACGGCCAGCAGCAGCCCCAGCAGATGTAGCTCATGCCCGTGCTATCAGGTGAAGGCCTGAGGGGAGGAGCCAGGGGAGACCAGGTGGGGTGGGGCTGGGCGGAGGCAGCTGGTCTTGTCAGGGGCTTATGAGGACAGGAGGGTGACGGGGAGGCCCACAGTGGGTGGTGGACGCCCAGCTCCAAGCGGTGTCTGCAATGGAGAGGCTGCTGCACCCAGAAGACCTGTCAGAGAGTGGGCCAGAGCCACCGAGCTGGTGGGGGGCGTGGGACGCGGGAATGAGGCCAGGCCGGGTCATGGTGACCTTTCAGGGATGGTCTCTGGGCATGACCAGGGGAACGAGTAGCCGTGGCCATGGAAACCAAGGTCACGGGAGCTGGTGGAGGAGGTCAGGGTGTTAGAAGACCATCTGCTTGGACTCACCCAGAATGGTAGTGGAGAGTTGGCAGGAACGTCAGTGACCAGAAACGTAAATTGAGTGCAGGGAGGGTCCAGGTGTGTGCAGAGCCATGGTGAGAAGAGGGCTGGGGTGGTCTGAAGACAGACGCTCCAAACCTGGGGTTCTGGAGGAAGTCGTGTCACGTGAGTTGGTCTGCCGCACGACTCAGCACGACTCCAGAGGGCGTCTGGAAGAATGAGCAGGGACCTGGAAGAACTTCAGTGCTGGGCAGAGGCAACCACGTCGAAGTAGGCTTCAGTGCACCTGAGCACCTGGCGTGTCATGAAGGCCACATTGATGGTCGGTGATGTCGGGAGAGGGTCGCTCCCCGCATGAGGTAGCAAGCAGCTCTTGGTGACCTCGAGGACAGTGACCTCGAGCCTCAGCTGAAGACAGCACAGTGGACTCTAGACATTAGAGAAGCGTTCTAAGTCTCACCCGGAGGCCTTTCTGGAGGCACCGCAGAGCAGGACCGCAGGGAGATGCCGCGGGGTGCGCATCTGCCCTCCCAGCTCTCAGGCCTCCCTTTGTGGACGCTGCATTTACATCAGAGCCGCTGGCACAGAAGACCTCCCAGCAGAGGGTAGGAGCAGGGGTTGTCCACAGAGACGACCTCAGACACAGAAGTAAAAAGTCTGCACTTCTGCTGCAAGTTAAAGTAAAATTTAAAATATAAAAGTGTGCTTAATAAGTGAGAAGGGGAAATCAGAATCCTCCAGCTAATAAGGGAGGTTTGAAATGGACGTTCTGCTGATGACAGCAGGAGGTCACAGGGTCTTGGTGAAGCCATCTGTGGCATTGAGAGGAGCTAGACTCAGGAGCCAGAAGTTGATCCAGTGCTCCACCCCGATTCCTGCTGTGCGTGATTGGCCTCAGAGAGGACTCCAGGGTGCGCTCCTAGTCTGAGGCCCCAGGCCCAGCCCTCTGCAGAGCCAGGCCGGGTGTGGAGGTGGGCCCTGATCCCCGGACATGGTACGCAGTCAGAGCCTGCGTGACGGGCTGTCGCCAGGCTGCCTCCGAAGATGTAAAGTCCTCTGAGAGAAGGACTAGCCAGCCCCTGACTCCCTGCTGGGCATTCCCTCACCACCCCGCCATCTCCCGCGCCCGGCGAGGTGGGCACAGCTGGCCTGTGTCACCGCCCTGCTGTGTATTGCCATGTCTTTGTCTCATCCTCAGGGTAACCCTTAGGGGCTGGTGGTTTCTGTTCCATGTTTTGCAGACTTAAAAGCGAGTCAGACAGGAGCGCGATGAGTCGTGTGGGGGGCCGCAGGGATGGAGCCTCGGGGACTGGGCCACGGGGGGCGGGTCCCTCTTGAAGCAGGCCGGGCTGCTGAGCTCTGACGTGTGCCAGGTGTCCTGCCAGGTGCCTGACGCCCCCTGGGGACATCCCGGTTGGGAGCGGAGAAGCCAGCTTAGTGGTTCAGGGCTGAAAACCCGGTGGGTGTGGGTGGGCTCCCACAGCGGGCGGAGGCCACGGGGTGCTGTAGGTTCTGTGGCCAGAGGAAGAACCTAGGGGGAAGTTTCTCAGGTTGGTTCGTAAAGTCCAGTGAGGATGGGCCCAGGTTGAGTCTCCTCAGCAGTGAGAAGCCGCGGGCTACTGAGCCCGCTGGTGGACAGGGTGGTCCCCAGGGCCCCTTCCTGAGTCTGTGGGCCCGATAAGAGACTCACTGCCAGCCCTTGTCTTCCAGACGTGATGGACGTAGCGTGGTCGCCCCATGACGCCTGGCTGGCCTCGTGCAGCGTGGACAACACCGTCGTCATCTGGAATGCTGTCAAGTTCCCAGGTCTGGCCTCCTCTGACTGGCGGCCTGTCCGCAGCACTGCCTGATGGTGTCTGGAGTGGAGGGGGCTCCACCTCCGTCTGCCAGTAGCAGCAGAGTCTCACAGTCACTTGGTTCTAATTTATCAGTTACATTCAAGGTTTAAAAAGAGGTTGATGTTACAGGGAAACAGTAACTGCCTGCTTGCACGGACCTGCCACAGGGCAGGGGGTTCCTGCCCAGTCCCTGTGTGGCTCACTGGCTCCCACCCTCCCACCCCTGGGCTCGGTGCAGCCCTTGAGCGGATACAGGATAACAAATTTCAGTTTCACGAAGACTGATATTTCTATCGATGTGTTCGATCACTGCAGATGGCATAACCGGGATAGCACTGCAGTTTGTGGCCAGTGGGATGCCTTGTGTCCCTGGTTGGTGTCTAGAGTGTGTTCCCAGGGGCTTAGGCCCTAGTCACTTTCTCTACAAGCCCACTGCTTGTGGGGGCTCAGCCCAGGACAGAGGCTGGAGTAGCATTCAGATCACGGCGCTGAGCCTGCCTGTCTCCCACACCTTCGATCTCAGTGATGAGGACCAGGGGACTCACTCAGTATAGGCCCATCCCCAGCCGTCAGGCCTGCTCCTTATCAGGGGAGCTGCTGGGGGGCTCCCATCAGCAGTGCTCAGATGGGTACGGGCCCTGTACAGAAGAGGAGAGCCCTGGTGGGACTGCCAGCTGCGGACGAGACGGGCACATCTCTGCCCAGCCCCAACCCAGCCCTGGTTGTCCGCCCTCTGGGGGCACATGAGGCCTCAGCCTATAAGCGTGAGCTGTGTCTGAAGGGACGTCTATGGTGCCCGCCTCCTGGATGGGAGTCAGACTAGGGGGCGCTCCTGCCAGTTCCCAGGGGCGGGACCTGCCGAAGTCCCCTCTCTGGACTGACCATTCCCCGGCCCAGGTTTCTGTAGAGAATCATCGTTTTCCCTTTGGTTACGCCTTTCCAACCTTTTATTTTTCCCTCACAGAAATTCTAGCTACTCTGAGAGGTCATTCTGGCTTGGTGAAGGGGTTGACTTGGGACCCTGTCGGTAAATACATCGCCTCCCAAGCTGATGACCGCAGCCTGAAGGTGTGGAGGACATTGGACTGGCAGCTGGAGACCAGCATCACCAAGCCCTTCGACGAGGTAACAAGGCAACCCTCTTGGCCTCCTCACGCCAGGGCGGGGGCTGCTCAGGGTCCAGACCTTGGGGGAGCCCAGAGTCTGGGGCCCCAAGAGTCAGGTGATGGGAACCTTTCACTTCTCACAAGCTGTTAAATGTTCACCTTTGAAGTGAAAAGGATTGTAGGTCTTAAAGCTAAAGTGTTTACATCACACTGCCCCGCAGGGCGGGGGCACTGCAGGTGGATGAGGCTCTTGAGTCTTCCCCGAGTACTCTGGGCTGGGCTTGCTGCCCTCTGCTCCACAGGCTGGCCAGCTTCCTCAGGGGGACTTAGCAGTCTGGTTATCAGGATGTCTGGAGGTGGGACTGTGGTGGCTTGTATAGTATCTTATTGTCTCTTCCCTGACTTGAGTTCTGATTGCCTGTGGGATCATAGATCAGGGTCGCTGTTATCCAGTAGATATCCCGTAAGTGCCTCCTCTGCGTGGGGCCATCCTGAGCACCGCAGATTCTTGCGGACTGGGATGGAGTTACCCAGAGTGTGCAGAAGTGGCTGGGAGGATGGTCTCTCAGGAAAGGCCCCTCAGAGGATGAGGTGTGAGCACGAGATTTTGTAGGAAGGGTAGACCTGAGCACGGTGGCTTAGTCCTGCTCACCGTGGGCCTTGTGCGTCTCTGGGATGGGCCTGTGGGGTGCTGCACTCAGCCCCTGCCTTGCCCGGCCTTCCTCTAGGGATGTGCAGCCTAGATCTTAATTCCTGAGTCTCTAGGGCTGCCCTGCACTGACCCTGAGCTTCAAGAGGTGGCTTTAGCCACCGTCATCTCACTTCGCAGGAGGAATAATGTGAAAGGATGCCCTGCCTCTGCCCGGGTCGGGGGAACATTGCCTGTCTGCTGTGCCGTTTATGGTTTATATGAAATTTACAAACCCCTTCTTGGCTGGTGGGCTTCGGGAGAGCAGATGTGGCCCCGTGGTCACTGGCTGTGTCGCAGACAGTCTCCTGACCAGGCTTCTGACAGTCAGCAGGGCTCTGTCTCCACTGCAGTGAGGGCTCTGCTGACCTCGCATAGAGTTAACAGGCGTGGGGCAGAAGAAGGGGCCATGCTCAGAGCCTGGCCACACTTGTTGACGGTGCAAGGTGGTGGCCGTCCTGAGGGCCCAGGCACCGTGTCGAGGGGGTGGAACGCTGCCCCTCCTAGCTCTCTGATGGCCTTTCTGGCAGATCTTCCAGAGAGGCCGGAGTACAGCCAGAAGCTGGGGTACAGGCCACCAGTGTACGTTTGTAGGTCAGAGTTCAGCCTGATTCTTGGGGCCAGTCCTGCCACAGAGTTGGCCTTGAGCTCCTTTCAAGCACAGACATCTCTTTCAGTGTGGAGGGACGACCCACGTGTTGCGGCTCAGCTGGTCACCTGACGGACATTACCTGGTATCCGCACACGCCATGAACAACTCTGGCCCCACCGCCCAGATCATTGAGCGGGAGGGCTGGAAGACCAACATGGACTTCGTCGGGCACCGGAAAGCTGTGACCGTCGTGGTGAGTGAGTAGCTGGGCCTCAGGGAGGCACTGTCAGCCCCGCCTGCTGTGGCCCCTCAGTCAGGACAGTGCTGTGCTCCCAGAGCCAGGGCCACAGGTGGGGCTGAGGTGGTGGCCCCTCAGATGCAGCACATGTTGCATCCTTACTGTGTTTTACTTAATGTTTCAGCATTTTAAAGCTTATTCTGCAGGAAAAGATGCACATCTGCATGTTCTGTTGGCAGGTGAACATGATAAATATCGTGCTGATAGTTTACTGACCATGTGGGACATCCCACATTGGACTTTGATCGGGAATGTCGTCGGCCTGCGCCAGCCTTTCCCCACATTCGGGTCTGCTCAGGGGGGCGCGAGCCTGTGGCCCTGACAGGTGCCCACCCACCAGGCTCCGGCGGAGCTCCCAGGCCATGCTGGGCTCACTGGGTGCTCACCCCTCACCCTCAGCCCCTGATCTTGACATGGAGGGAGCAGAGCCCCAAGTTCAGGATTGTGTGTGTGTCCCCCACCCCCGTGCCTTTGGGGCCCTGATGGAAATGTCCTGAGAGCCAGGACTTTCCCAGCTGTGAGCGACTGAACAAGTGAATGGATCGGCGGCCAAGGTGGACCCAGATGAAGGGTCACCCAGGACCCTGATCTCAGGGTTTCATCACCAGATGGGCTTGTCTTTCCATCACCTGTACTGATAACATATATCATCAGCTATTGTGACTTAAAATGTAAATTTCATACAACATTGCTACTTTAATCTTTTCCTGTTGGACTTGGGAGGATTTTGTTGCAACCCTGGACCTTGTTGCTAAAACAATTGAAACCCTGCTTCATGGTCAGCACAGTGTTCCTGCATGCCCCATGTGAGCCTCACAGCCCCAGGGCCTTGCACGCCTCTGGTTCCTGTCCTCCCAGCCCCGTGCAACCCTGGCCCTTCCTGCCTGCTCACTGGGATCAGGTCCCTCTGGGCCACCTGCACCAGGCTCCTCCTTGTTGGTCTGGCCTGCGGATTCCCGACCTGAATCTGCCGCTCCTCCTGCCCCTTTCAGCCCAGCACGTGTTCCCAGCCTTCGCGGAAGTGACACTTGGGTTACATGGGGGTAGCCCCGTGGCATGGCCTTAGCCTGACTCAGTGAGGTCCTGCAGGGCTCACACTTTTGACTGTGAACAGGGAGGGGCAGACAGAGACAGTCTCTCCTGTCAGGAGACCGTGTTCCTAAAGCCTGGCTCCTGGAGCTGGTCCTGTGGAACCAGGAGGGTTCAGAGGCCGGGGTCAGCAGTTCCCGTGTGTGGACCTGGCTGCAGGGGGACCACACAGCTGGTCAAGCCGGCCTCTGATCCAGGCCTCACCACTTACTCTTGGGGACTCATTGGTGCACATTTCCTGGCCTCTTAAGCCTCCATTTCATCCTCAGCACAATGCCCGCTAGGTAGTTGTGAAGATGCCATAACCATGCGGGCGTCCAGGGCTGGCCAGTGTCTGGCGGGGCTCCCTGGTGGGCTGGGACTGCAGGGTGCCTCGTATTTGGCGTGGGTTACCTGCTTGACGCTTCATTCGTTACTAACTTTTGTTATTTGGTTTTAGAAATTCAACCCAAAAATCTTCAAGAAGAAGCAGAAGAACGGGAGCTCCGCAAAGCCCAGCTGTCCGTACTGCTGCTGTGCTGTGGGCAGCAAGGACCGTTCACTGTCTGTCTGGGTGAGGCCCCGCTGAGCGTCCCCTTCCGAGCACTTCCGCAGCTCTTGTGGGGGCAGGACCTGGAGCCTTGGGAGAGGAGAGACCCTGCTTTGAATGGTGATCAGTGGCTGCTTCTGCCCTGCACCTGGTGCTGCCCTCCTGTAACCCCAGAGGGAAGCACTGAAGACTGGGCGGGCCAGGAGGGGCCACCCTGACCCCCGGCCAGAACAGCTCTGGTGTCCAGACCCAGGGAACCCTCCAGTGGTCAGGGCTATGGGTAGCGCATTGTGTCAGCTTTCTTTTGAAAGAACCTGTGTGTCAGCGGGTAACCTACGTAACATGTCCCCTGAGGTGTACAGCTCTGTGCCTTCATCGTCAGATGTGTGTGCTCCTCCGGAGCTGCCCCCCACCCACCACAGGACCCTGCCCCAGCCACCTTGACGGCACCTATTTCTGAACTTCACATGAGTGGAGTTACATTGTTACTTTTTGCGTCTTGGGTCACTCTCACTTGGTATAATGTGGCTAGAATTTGTGTATGCCGCTGTCTTTAATGATGGTTTATTCCCTGTTGTTCATTCCCTTCAAGCAGAGTGGGTTTAAAGTTGTAGATTTGAAAGTTATCCTGTAGCTGCATTTATGACAGTTGTTTGTCACGGAGAAATCATGTGGCCCCGTTCTAGGCCCTGGGCCCGGCATGCCACCAGCAGCCTAGGCACCTTCCTCCTGGACTCCTCCAGGCCTGGGCCATCCTTGGTGCTTCGACCACATGTCACTGATCGATGTCAGGTGTTCATGGGGGTTCTGGGCTTCTGAGCGGTCTGCAGGCACGTCTGTGGGACCGGGGGCAGGGCAGGTTTTTCCCAGAAGTGGAACTACAGTAGGGCAAGCGTCTTGTGGGTTCCAGGCGGCTCAGACTCCAGCTCTTTCCTCAGGGCTAGGGTGGCTGCAGCTCCTTCCCTGCACCAGCCTTCCAGAAGCTTCCATAGCACCTGCTGGGAGCCCTTCACAAGCATCCCCCCCACCCCAAGCCTGCTGTCATGTGGCCCAGGACCTGTCAGTGGGGTGAGCAGACACTAGTGTGTGAGAGACATTTGTGTAAGTCATCAGAATGTTAATGGTGGTTAGTTTGGAGTCTGGATCAGGACAGCTTAAATTGGTTTTGTGAACTGTCTGCACACAGCCTTTGCAGAAGGGACCTGTGTAATGCAGGAAGCTGGTTCCACTGAGCCTGGGATGTGTGTGTACCCGAATTCAGCCTGGAAGGGGTGCTGAGTTCCCTCTGAGGGAGCGTCCTTTGCTGCCTCATCCCCTGCCCAGGGCTTGGCATCCCACCCCTGCTCTGTAGACCCTCTTCTCTGTTGCTGGTCATGTGTGTACAGCCATGTCCCCTGCCAGCACACACGTCCGGACTGGGTCTGGGCATTGGCTGCCGGAGTAGAGTTGAGGCTGTCCTTTGTGTCGACAGAGCTCCATCCAGGGTCCCTGGGTCCAGGGTTTAAGGGAGCCGAGTGGACGTGGAGGGCTGCCTTCGTTTCGATCACCTTTGCCGCCGCTTTCCTTCCAGCTCACGTGTCTGAAACGGCCTTTGGTTGTCATCCACGAGCTGTTTGACAAGTCCATCATGGACATTTCCTGGTAAGCTGGGTCCTTGTTGCAGTGCACGGTCTGGGAAAGGAGGAGCCACGTGCCAGCACTCAGGGCCTCTGGGATGCGGTCAGGGCCAGGCAGCCAGGGCCCCCGGGTGCGCCACCAGAGCAGACCCCATGTGCGGTCTGCAGTGACTCAGGAGGGCGGCTGGCCAGCTCCTGTGCTCCCGGCCTCACTGGGATGTGCCGCTGGAAACAGCTGCCCAGACAGACTGGTACTTGTCTGGGGGGGGGGTGGAGCGCCGTGGCCCTGGTCCCACTTCACTGTCGCTGCACAGATCAGAGCAGTGCAGGTGTAGAGACCACTGTGTGCTTCTCAGCAGTCTCATTCGGACGTGCACTCCCTCATGTTTTCTAAAACACAGTTTCAAAAATGAGACAAATAAAATGGAAACTCTTTGGAAACACATGATGAGAGATACTTTGTACGTGTGCTGAGAACTGAAGGCCCCAGAGCTCTCTGGACGGGACACAGTTGTTGCCCCTACCCACCCA